CCAAGTACCTTCAAAGACTGCATCTCTTCTCCCCATCACTACTAAAATGCATGCTGTATGCTACTTACCAAAAGCAAAAAGGCAATAATTTGCATCTTGTAGCTGAAATATGATTATTAATTCTTGGTTTATCTAAAACAGCATAATTACTAAAGTAGCAATACTATCATCAAAGCTGCTAAACAAATCTCTTGAAACAATTTGATTTGAGAGCAATCAAACTGTTTATTGAAAAAAAAAAAAAAAGAAAAAGGCTGAAGAAAAAACGGATCTGAAGGAAAAGAAGGTAAAATAGTAGTTAAAAAAAACCAAAGAATACACCTCCACAAAACTTTTAAGCAGAGATGATTCTCAAACACAATTCTTTTCTTCAGCTCTCCTATTAAACTTTTTTTATTGAGAAAGTTTTTTTTTTAATTGAGGGCACTGCAATGAATTTAAGCAGAAAACCTATTGATAGTTCCAAAAGAATGGCAAACAATCATCATTAATCAGGGCAAACTGTCAAATTCCTTCTACCAACATAAGCATGCTGATTACTTTTAACTCCCATTCATCAAACATTAAAGAATGTCAAGATGCTTCTTGCATCTCAAACTGGCTACTAGTAGAAAGTTGTGAAATATGGTTTGCAAATAGTATAGCAAATTCTTTTAAACAATAACAGTTCTATATACATTTTTATTATCAATAATGGGCAATTATTTGAAGCTGGTGAGTCTCATAGTAAAAAAAAAAAACATTTAAGAAGCTAAACTTGAATTGGATTTCTGGAGTATAAAGATTTCTAACCTACATCATACACACCCGTTTACTAGGAATCAGCTTTATTCCAAGCTCGGTGCATGCACGGGTGATTATTGTCTGCATTTGTGACCTACAAATCATCAAATAACCAATCAACATTATCATAATACTGAGAGACAAAATCCAGCAAATCAAAAAGCACTAAATACTAGAAGAATCATTGACTTTTCAGACAATTTACCTGAAAAAGCGGATCTTCTCAGGTAGAGGTACACCAAATTCATCACAAATTGATACTAAAGCATTCTTCAATGTGACACTATTGATAACATTATTTGGAAAATACTTTGTATACTGAAGTGAAAGTGAATTATCACAAACTAAAAGCTCCCATATCTTCTTTCCTCTGATATCAAGGATAGGCCTAGAGCAGAAGTCCAATTCCCACTCTGAAATGCTTTGGGGATCAACTTCTGGATCAAGATAACGTAATTCTGCTGTTGGATCATCTCCTTCATCAGCAATTTCAGCTTCCAATGGTGAAGATATTGAGCTCTCTGAAACTGGGCATTTCGGAAAACGACAAGTTCTATATTGATCTTTTGATGGTCTCTTAGATACTTGAAAGAAGTGAAGTGGCATCTTACTGAGGAAACTGAAATTTGAGTTGAGTTTGCATGGCTGAAAAGCAGGATTCGTAATTGACCCGGAGCCTATGCTTAAACTACACATCCTATTGAAATTTATTTTCCACTATCCCAGAATGAATGGAGAAATCAAAGTGGGGCAGGCTACTGACACAATTGGTAGATTGTCATCCGCTAAACATATGCATAACTATAACCTACATCAAGAAGTGCACTAAAGATTTTCCAACCCCCAAAAAAAATCCTTCAGAAGGCATTCAACTCCTTGTGGGAAATAAAAAGATAAACCTCCAAGTTTGGCCAACCTGCAAAAATAAATGATCATTTATAGGAGCGACACTAGCTTTTACTATTAGTTTGATTATAGTGAAACAAGATATCCATCATGCATAAAATTGAACCTTATTCTTGAGCAATCTAGCATAAGGTTTACCAAACAGGATTCTCAAGAATCAGCAGTTATTATCATGTTCAACTAAAAGCTCGCATAGTCAGGTAGCTTTTATTCAATCATGAATTTTAGCTTTTTTGCTGGCTTAAATTCTACTCCTAGATATTCTTTGCCAGACTTTCCACCAAACAGGGCATGCACCAGCGTCGTATTCTAGAAGCCAGTATGATTTGAACTATTTTAGACGGCATGCACACTTTTAAGAGGAATAATCTCACACCATTAATCCTGCTGACAAAATGAGCCCTTATTTCATTAATCTGGTAAGCTAAAAGCAAATGCAGTTCTAAACTAGAGCACATGATGGCCATTAAACATAAACTTGTAAAATTATTAATCATTCCCTGCACAAAATTCTTATGCTAGTTCATGCCATTTCATCCCTTGTTGATTGTATACAGTAATTTCCTAAGTTTTTTCTTTTTTCTTTTTTCCTTTCATTGACAAGGAAAAAAAAAAAGAAGAAAAAGCTGTGTGCTTGGCCTAGTTACCAGGAATGAGAGGCACATATATATTTAAACTGCAAATCTCCTTAAGAAGAAAAACCCCCAACAAAATAATCCATCCCAACTATACAAAAACTTACAGAAACAAACAGTTATGCAATTCTTGCAAAATTTTCGCACAGTTACATCTTCAGCAGAAATCAATAGGAACAGAACAGTAAATCAGATAAGAACTTAAATAACAACACAACAAATAAGAAAAAAAAAAAGCAGATAAGAGAGCATCAACAGTAAACAGAATCAAAAGAAAACAAAATTTATCCAGGATGAAGAGGAAGCGAGGGACTCACAATGGCAGAGGAGAAGATGAGAAGAAGAAGAGTATGAGAAGTAGCTTTTTGGGGACTGTGAGGTGGAGAAATCGTTATGTTTCCATTTTTCAGTTGGGAAGTTGTGGATTAAGTAGTCCTCCTAAAATGGTTGGGCTATTTACACTTTTCACCCTTGTGTTTTGGATAAACTGCAGGAGGACCCCTTAAGGTATGAAAATTCAAAACCTACTACACAAGTAGTTTGGACTATGGATGCTAAATTTTGTTATTCATTCTTACCTATACAAATAGAAAGAACAAAAAAACTTTGCTAGTCATTCGTGCCTGTATAATGTCCAAAATACACTCACTTAGGAATAACAAGGAAAAAAATAAAATATTTCTTATTAATAGACCAAAATGAGGGTGAAAAGAACTACTAAATTAAAAATTTGAAAAAATTGATCGGCTCATAGTTTTAATAGAATAGGTTATGATTTATAATTTAAAGGCTACTTAACTATATAAAGTTAATATTGTTGAGTGTATTTTGTAAAATTGCATTTGAAAGATACCAAATATTATATTGAAGTGATAGCTAGAGTATATTTTAAAGAAATTTTGGATGTCTAATTATGCTTTCGGCCCCAAAGAAAAAAAATACTAAAATAAGGAAAACAAAGATTGATTTCATTTGACAAAAAAGAAAAAACAATCAAAATTAACTTCAAATGCTACCTAAATCTCAACCCTCCCAAAAATCAGTGTCATGGGTATCTTGCTAGTTTAATGCAATTAGAGTAAGAGTATCAAAAATCCAAGTGTGTTTGGATAGGAGATTATTTGGAATAATATTTTGAAAAAATACTGTAACATTGTTTTGATCTGATATATGTGAGAAAAAAAGATAGTTAGAAAAATAAAAAGATTATTAAAAAAATGTATTTATGAAGTAATAACAAAATGCAAATAAACCACTATCCAAACATACTCAATGAAAATAAAAAAAGTCATGTTATTTTTTTTCAAGAAGTTTTGATTGAAATTCGAATTACTTAAAATTCTATAAACAGACTAACAAGCAAATAACAGAAAATGGAATTAATAGTGCAATATTGCACTATCAATTCCACTACTAGACGTATTATTAATTTTGTTTATTTTTTAAAATTAAGATCAACAGTAATTCCTAACTTTTCCTTTTAAGACTTGAAGTCGTGACATTTCAATTATAAATGAAGTGCCATACCGGGCAATACTTTATTGATAGATGTATGATTAATTTATTATCATTGGCGAATTAATTATATATGCTATCCTAAATTTGATCCCAAGGTATAAATAGGATTATTATTTACTACTAAAAAGAGCCACAAATGATGGAATAGATGTATGATTAGTTTATTACCGTAAGTGAATTGATTATGCTATTTCGTTTTTGATGCCGAGGTGCCAATAGGATTAGTATTTACAACTAAGAAAGAGCATAAATGATGCAAAATAGGATTAGCATTTAATATAAAATTTAAGAAAGGTGTTAATTTGACTTCCACCATCAATAGTCGTCAAATCACATTTCACACAATTAACTTCCAATTCCAATAGTCAATATCTAATTTTTCACAATGCAGTGTAATAGGAGAATTCTAAAAACTTACAAAATTACCATTATTGTTTATGAAATTTTCTCTATTTTATTTCCTTCTTTTATATTCTTTTTTTTTTTTTGCCTTTTACTTCTTCTTCTTTTCCTTTTTTTTTTTTTTTTTCCTTTTTCCCTATCCTCACATGCTACCGGCTATCACTTCCATTCCAAGTTTTCTTTACTAGTAATATTTTTTTGGTGAATTTCTTTGTATTTTCTAACTCATTGTTTTTATTTTTCTTGTAGTTCATGAGGAACTTATAGCATAACAAAGTAGTACAAATCATTAAATTGAAAAGCATAAGCAATCTAGATATTAGAGTATCCAAGCAAATATGAACTAGCACTTACAAGTGATAAACAAATATAGATCAACTACTACTTTTATTTAATTTTGATTTGTAAGTATTTACAGTTGTTACAGTATATATATATATATATATTTTTGATAAAAACTTCAAAAAATAACATGATGTTCAATTAGATTGAAGTATTATTCTAAATTTACAGATATCAATATTAAAGAGAAGGAAGTCCTCAAAAAGCAAAGAAGGAAATTCTAACAACAGAGAGTTTGGACTTGAAGGACCAAGATTCACATAAATGTACGTTTCACTGTGAGTTTTTAATTCATCTGACATTTTAGAGGGAGCAAACTCTAATTTTCATCTAAAGACATTTTTTGATTGAAACCAAAACAGTTTCTAAAAGTTTTCGGGGGGTGAACAAGCGAGCAAAAGAATTCACGGGTGGTGATGACTAGATTCTTATATCACTCTCTTGGAAGTACGAATGCTGATTCTTGTGACAGGTACTGACATGAATTTAAACGGGTCATTATTAGGTCAACCGGTTATCGACACATTAATCGAACCAACAACGAAGATTATTCTGATTACAAACTCAGTAACATCGCTTCTTTTTGTTTCTTCAATCCTAGAACTTGAGGAAAACAGAGGCTGCTCTGACGTCCTTGTACTTGGATTCGATTATCTCAGACATGATAGTTGCAGATGCAGAATCTGCAGAGTCTGCATAAGCCAATAAGTCAAAAGACACATGCATAAGCAACACAAATACAAGAAACCTATAATTTGAGATGAAAATAAGGAACAACCTAAACTGGAAAAAATGGCTTCCCGTGCTGCTAATTGTTCAGCATCTTTCTTGTTTCTTCCTATACCTCCGGTATAATTGACACCATTCAGAACCAATGTAGATGCAAAAACTGGAATTAAGCCTTGTGGTTGAACTGTATAATATGCTGGATGCTCCAGGTGCATCTTAAGAGCATACTCGTTCAGGATAGACTTGCACAGAGTTGTATCCTCATTCAGGATAGACTTGCAAAGAGTTAGAGGGAGGGAAAACAATCAAGCAAATATCAAAAGAAGTATTTGCATTAACTCATTCACCATACAAGGATTATATCAAAGATATTGGAAATCAGGTTTGGTAAATCTTCAAACCACAAAAAAAAAAAAAAGGCCAGGCTACATCAACATGCTTCAGGAATTTAAGCAAGGCTAGAGCTTGGCAAGCACTGCTTAACACAGTACAAAAGCAAGAAACATACATAATAGAATATCTAATGCGTGTATGATCTCAGAATATCTAATGTGTATAGATAAAAATGCTCTGTGCTTAAAAGGCAGATCAACTTATATACATACAATCTCATTTAAGGAAATGGAAAACGTCTAGAATTACTTGAAATGAATTTTTAGAGAAATATGAAGGACATCATATGCTTGCAGAGGTGTTCTATACTTGACAAACTAGTATAAACCATTAAACCAAAACAGGCCTTAAGATTATGAGGTCGTGAAATGCTGCGTCCTGTGTTCTTAAAAGCTTATGGTAACAATTTTATAGTGTACAAGTTAGTGTTACAGTTCTTAAGCCATCTACAGAGACAGTAGAAAGAACAGCAGTAAGGCTCATTCAGATGTTCTTTTGCTTTCTCAACCAGTGTTCTGCTAATGAGATTTATTGCATTGTTCAGTCATTTCCCAGACTTCATATGACAATACATTCCAGATGAGCAAGACGACATTCATTGGTCAAGACATTGCAATTTAACCAATATGCAGAGATGCTCACAGAAACCTTTGGATTAATTGGGCACCCATCATCGTTCATCCTTTTTTGGATACTATGTAATGCAATCATGGCAGCATTATGTTCTGCACTCTTTCGTCTTTGAAAAGTCCCTTGAGATGCATACTTTTTTCCATCAACCAATACTGTAGCTCTAAAGTTTGGTGAATGTTCAGCTCCTTCTTTAACAATCGTGTACACCGGGGGCTGTAAACAAGATTTTTGTGTATATTCTTGCAATCGACTTTTGTACATGTGGTGTTGTAAACCACCTACAATATCTAAAAGCAAAAACATGTCATTCATAAAGAAGTCTGGTAAATAAACATCAATAACTTATCGTGATCGATCGAGTGATAACAGATATGCAAAGGTGATTTGGCACTACCCAAGCATCACAAATTAAGGCTTAATTAAGCAAGATATACAGAAAGGCCAACCTCAAACTCAGGCGTGGGAAATGAGAAATCAAGTACAAAACAAAGTGATACTTCACAATAAGCAGTTTTGGAAAGCACACTGAATTAACTAGAGGCACAGATTGCATACCATATATACTAAGGAAAAAAATTTGTTCCAAACTTTCACATAAATCTTTAACTTCAAACAAAAGTTCTATCTAGTAAGCTCTCACTGGTAGTCGATTCAACAAGTGGAAAGAATCTCAAATGTTCACACAGCTTGGTCTAGCTTTCTGAAGGTTCCAAAGCTGATACTTCAAGAACACTAGTCAAAATGCGCTTTTCTGATTCTAACATGTTTGAAAGTCCTTTGCTGCATCTCATTTCAGACAAAGTGCACTCGTTTTTCAATCTTTTGGGGGCAGTCGAGGAGAAAGTGTAGTACATAGCACCAAGCCACAACCAACAAAGGAAAAGAAAAAAGGAAGATAAGCAGAAAAATGAAAATGCAATGACAGAAAAAACTTACCTCCAAATAAATTACAAAAATTTTGAAAGTATAAGAACCAGATTGATACGCTTTCAAGGGGGAGAGGAAAAGGGGGAAAAATGAAGAAATCTAGGAGTGTTACTTAATTTTGTCACTTGTTAAAAATAAGATTAGGAGGATGACTTGTGAATACGAGACTTGTAAATCATGAATAAGAAATTTAAGACATACTTCGTGCCATTGAGTATGTCTCTCGTTTGAGCTGTTCAACAATCCCAAGCGCCTTGATCTTCTCTCTTCTACTTCACTTATGTTTGCTCAGTGATGGATAACACATAATCTTGATTGAGTGAAAAGAAGCAAGAGCCAATTTATAGATGCATAAGTGACCCTTCCCATCATTGATCATTTACAAGCTTCAGTGAATCTTCTCCTTGATAAGATAAATCTTATTATGTAGTTTCAAGAATGTACATACACAGTAAAAAAATTATATGCTTCATTTATGTGAAGTTTCATAAATGTAAAAGATAAGTTCATTAATCACTTGATAGATTCATGACTTTGATCATAGAATCTTATGATTCACTGATTAGGTACATGACTTTGGTTACAATACCTTGAACCTATCTATACATGTACTTAATTTGTCCTCTCATATGTATGGGATACAATGTATAATGTTACATTTATTTGCATATTACATTTATGTGATCATGAAGGCGACCAAAACAAGTGATTAATCTAACATTCCTGGCTGGAAAACGCCACACAGAGGGAAAAAAAATACATGTAAGGAAGAAACAGAAAGCAAACAAACAAACCAAAAAGGAAAATTCATACCCTCTGAGGACAGTTGGCCTGTGATCAGGCACGGTACTTCTTTGTGGAAGTGAATGTGGTTGTCAAACGAGGAAAAAGAAGCTGATCAGACAGGAAGAAGATGATCCCAATAAGCACCAGTTCCCTAGTATTAAAAACGATGAAGTTTATCTCTCTTCTTTGTTTCCAACGTTAGCTCCATACATCTTGCTGTAGATTTATTTGCATTTTCCGATGCTCTGAGCTCGGCAAGTTGCTTCTGTCATCAGGGCCTAGATATGGGAATGATTACAATGAGCAAAGAAGGGAATTCCTGGTTGACTATTTTCAAGAGTTTTCGGAAGTGGAAATGGGGGTTAAATGCACAAAACCCCCCAAACTTTGCCGTTATTGTGTTTACAGCCTAAACTCTTTTAATAAGTACTTAATCACCCTTTCTTAAGCCAATAAATAAATGATTGATCACCTTAGTCAAGGTCCTTTTGGATTGCGATTTTTCAGGAAAATTTTTTGAAATTTTCTCTTGATAAAAATTTTAATTATTTTTGTATCTCATATATATCATTTTGCTACATTATATCTTTTTTAGAAAAATTTCTAAAGTCTCCAATACAAATGAGCTCCAAGATTGTTGCTATCTTAATTATATACAATTTTTTTTTCTTGTCTTATTTTACTTTCTCCTTTTCTCTTTTTTTCCTTTTCCTTTTTCTCTCCATTCATTTTTCTCGCATGCTACCAACTTTGTTTGCTTCCATTTGCTCCATGTTATTATTTGCATAGTTATATTAATTTTTTTCCTTTTCATTTGATGATCTTTTTTATTTGCTTTAACCTATTTATTGAATACTTTTGTTGTAGTTCTTTATTTGTTTGTTTTGCTCTACTACTAATCTAGAAGTCATGGTATCCAAACAACACAAACAAGAACTTACAAGCGATCAAACTTTTATAATAAAAACTAAGCAACTACAAACAAATTACTGCTATTATTGTTTATTATTGATTGGTTAGTGCTTATATGTGGTTGATAAAAATTTATTTTTACCTTGATATACTTATTTGTTACTTTTACTTTTAGCAATCAAGCAATTTTCTAATCTCTAATTTGCTCATATAGATTTAAAAATTATATGAGATATGCTTTGTACGTAGGTAGCATGTGTCTTTTTATAATATAGAGATTGTGATTAGCATTACCAGTGAAACTAGAATAAAATAATAACTTAAATTAGATTAAAATTTTCTTCTAAATAGACAAAGATATATACTAGACGGAAAGAAGTATAGTAATCACAGGAGAAAAAGGGAAACGAAAACGAAAAAAAAGGACAAAGAATATAAAAAGAATGATTAATCTTTCCTACACTGACAGTCTATACAGTGTCAGCATTGGATGAATGATAACTATGCAATTTTTGCATACATGTTATGAATCAAGCGGTGATAGTGTATACACTGTCAATGTATATAAGATTACTCTAAAAAGAATAGATAGAAAATTAACTAATACTTTTTTCAAAATGATAAGTTAAAATAATATAGTGCAAACAAATTTGTCCAAAAATCACAAGTGAAGGGGGTTAAGTGTCTATAGAAATTGTTTGAGGGGGTTAAAGTTAAACCAGTTGGCAGTACCTTATTTTAGCCCATAATCTTGCTAATCTTCTTAGGAGATTGTAATGAAAATCTCACATGTTAAGAAAAAAGGCCATTAGCAGTAGCAGCAATTTGATCCGTATGAATCTCTTGTCCCAGTTTGCATTCCTTTTTATTTTATTATTTGATCATTTTTTAGGTGTGTCATCTGCTAATTAAGCCTAAGTAATACATTCAAGTATTTCTAAGTTCTGTCCTATACCTATCAAACATGTGTTAGTTTAATGAAAAATCCAGTTTGGATTGCTATTTTCTGAAATTTTTGTAGAAAAATATATTGTAACAACTTGATATATGTGAGATATAAATATAATTGAAAAATGGGTTCAAAGAAAATGTAAAATTTTTTTGGGGAAAAATAATAATCCAAACAATGCCAACTGAAACAAAGATGTTTGTATTCTTATACCAGTTGGTAGTACGAGAATCTAGCTCATAATCTTGATCTTCTAAGGAGATTGTAAATGTTTTTTTACTAATAAAAATCTCACATGTTTTTTAAAAGGTTAAAGGCTTCTAGCAGTTGTAGTAAATTGACCTGTATGAAATTATTGTCCCACTCTATATTCCATTTTCTTAAAGGTTTTAAAGGTGTCATTGGCTAAACCTGAGTAATACATTCATATACGTTTGTTAGTTTAATGGAGGAACAAAATTTTTGTAACAAAAAAGTGATAAAAGTTAGAAATAATATCAAAAACCTCCTTTGAGGTTTCTCCTAATATCACTTGACACTCCTGAAATTTTAAAAATATTACTTACCTCTGTTAGTAATTATAAAAATACTATATTAACCCTTACTTGATACATAATTCACATATCAAATAAAATGGAGCTAAAAAATTTTTAAAAAGAAATGAGAGTCACTTTCTTCTCTTTCCCTTTTCTCCAACATTCTCTCTTACTCATTTTTTGGATGGCTTTGTATTATTTCATTTGTGAATTATAATCAATTGAATTTTATTTATCTTTTACTTTTTGTGATTATGATAGAGCGGGGTATGATTTATTTGCTTATTTTGAGTTGATTTTTATAATGATCAAGACAATTTAAAATTTTAGACACGGGTTGAGAAGAAGTTGGAAAGAAATATAAAGTTCATAAGAAAGCAATTTTGAGCATATAGAGTTAAATTGGTGCAAGTGTATTTCTTTAAAAATATTTTTTTTTATTTTTTCAAATTTATATTTTTATGGGATATAGCATTATGATGTGGTAGTACTACTAAAGCTTATTTTTTTAGTTGATGCATGGTTTTCTTGAAATAAACAAAGTGGTTTAGGAATATATCTATTTAGCAAGCAAAAGCGTTTTTTAGGATTTTTAAAAATTTTGTTGCACAAATAACAAAAGTAAGAAAAATAAGTAATATTTTTAAAACTTTAAGAGTGTCAGATGATATCCCAAAAGTTATTGTAGCACCCACCAAAATCCAAAAAAGATGTGTAGGAGAGCCTTAACCCTCCCCCATCTCCTCAATCGGTCAAGTCCAAGCATCCGCTTCAGCTCCCTAATTCTCCTACTGACCAAGTCTAATCCTCCATTTTCAATATATGTAATAGATGCATACTTCTCTAATTGGGAAACTTTTGGGATCAAGGGCCCACAAGTTCCATTTAAAATCAGAAACAGGTGAAGCTTCGATATAAATAAAGTTCTAGATAGGGTATAAACGAGTGAGATTATAGTGTAAAAAAAAAATTAAAAATAACTGTTCTATTTTTAATTGGTTTAAAATAGAACTTGTGAGCCCTGTGATCGGAAACTTTTTGTACTAGACACAGAAAGCTGAAAGCACATACGAAAAGATACATCTCTAAACATGCCAAGGGCTGTGCAGGCAATGTGCTTTAACCGGAAAGCACTAAGTTTTACTATAGATAGGAATTTACAGTGGATTTATTTTGAGAAAAATTGCAAAGTTACAAACACTTCTTCCCCATTAACTATATTTTAGTATGATTAAGTATCTACTTGAAGTAATCATTGGGATTGGCCTCAATGGTTAGGAAAGGGCTGTTAATCGAGCTATTAGAGTTCTTTCCACTGTCAGGTTCAAGATTCGAATCGAACTGTTAGAGGTCTTTTCACTGTGGGTTTAAGGTTCGAATTAATCAAAAAGCTATTGGCTCTTCTCATCCTAAAATCATATCATAAATATATTTTTCAACTATAATTTTATCTCACATATATTACATCAAAAAAATACTACAATATTTTTTTTTCAAAAAATTATCTCAAATAATAACGTAAATCAACTATCAAGAAAACATTATCAACACAAATTCATAGGACCAAAAAAAAAAAAAAGCAGCAATGTGGAAGTTCTTCAAATTTACGTATTTAAGAAGATATAACGTATAGATATTAAATGAAGATATTACATTAATTACCTTTGCGTAATTAACATTGAATGAAGCTTAATAAGGTACTTACGAAAATATAGATTGATGTACATCTATATATATATATATATATGGATGCGTGCTTACATTGCAAGTACGTTCCTCCCATAGATCTAGGGATTAACGAAGCAAACATGACGTTTACTTCCAAACAAGTGGCGGGTTTTCTTCTGGTGCTTTGTGTGATGCAATTTTGTTAGTCTCTCCTTAATTCCTGTCCTAAAGAACTTGCCCATTAAAATTCTATATTCTTCATCACTTTATTTAGGGACTAAAATCAAAGGAGTATGTTTAGAAACTCTTGCTAAAATTGACAAATAGATGGTTGGACTTTGGAGAATTGTTCTTGAGATGTTCCCAAATATATGCTTTAGTACTAGTTAATTTTACGTACATATGAAATAAAAAGGTGACAGGTGAATGTTTCAACATTTTGTAAAAGCAAAACAAAATTTCAAGAAACAAGTTCATCAGAGAAGTTTGATGCATAGTTCCAATTTCATGGCACGAGCCTAGTTTGGTTGCCTTTGGACATTTCACTAGACAATTTAGAGTTATAATGAAAAAAAAAAACATTTACCATGATGCCAATTAGAACCATAGACAATTCCATATTCTTCAATCTTGCTTGTGAAAGAAACAATGAGATATGCTAACGGTAGTCAATTGATAACAAAACAAATATTGCAGGTCTTGAATTTCAGTGTGAAGCAAAGAGTTTTCTTTGGAGAGCAGCAGATTTTCTTTTTAAGCCTATTCCTTGCAAGGTTGATGACGACTGCAAGGGGCTTAATCTTCCTTGGAAGTCATGTTATATGACTCAAACAGATATATGTGACAACCATGAGTGCAAATGTCTTCCTTTCCATGGATTTAAACCACAAAAGGTGCTATCCTAAAGGTGGCAGAGTGGAAGGTTGGATGTGGTTCTGGTAAGCTTTTGTATTGTCCTATTTACCTCTAAAGTTGAATAAAGAAGCCTTATCTTTGCATACCCAAAAAAAAAATACCCTTAGCTTTTTATGGTGAAGGAAGCATAATGGAAGAACATTCTTTTCTTAATATCTAAAGTTAATACCCTCAAGTATCATTCAAATTCATATATATACACACGCACGCAGGTGCACGCGCGCGCACATACACGCACATAGATACATACATACGTACTACATATATATATTAGAAACACAAGGTTAATTAAAAGGCAAAA